CCCCAAAACCCCAAAACCCCAAAACCCCAAAACCCCATGCAAGTAATTACATATTGATTATAATATTTCAAACATTTGGAGAGGTATGGACACGTTTTGATAAAGACTCTAGAATAGATGGAAATGAGTGATATGCAGACCCAAAAGGAAAGAAAAGAAAGACTCATCTACCAGTACTTCTTTTCTGACAAATTTTAGCTGGGATCATAATAATGAAGACGATTCTGACCAAGAAGACTCAAATTTAGTGGGTGGGCAAAATAAAGATGGTATTTAAAATTACATTTCACTAGGATATACTCATTTAAATGTATAGTATTGTCAAAGGAACAACCTCCAATAGTAAGAGTCAAGATTTGTGGATGCATACCAGCTTGGTGGAGGACAGAAAACTATCTCACTGAATGGGAGCTTCAATGATATGAGCTATTTAAAAGCGAAATCAAGCGTTATAGCAAGTACGACATGGATCATGAAGAGTCTCTCAAAAGGTTATGGAAAGTATCATTTGGAGATACTCAACCGCCAGATAAACTTGTTGGCCCTAAATGGAAAGAACTTGGATTTCAAGGCGAAGATCCAAGAAATGATTTCAGAGGAGGAGGCATTATAGGTACTATTAGTATTAACTGTCTAGGGCTATATTGATTAACTTACTTTGTTGAAAACTTCAAGGATGATTTTGAATCAATTAAACCAAGCGATGATGGTCTATTTTCTACAGCATTATTTTGCATAAATCTAAGCTATGCTCTTCAAGTATGATTCTATTTCCACAATGATGATGATATCATGAGAGACTACAGACCATACAAGTGCAATCCTAGAAGATTTAAAAACTTTATTAGATTATTTTCATACGACAGCTCATCTTCAATCTCAAATTCCAAGATCAATTTTTACCAATTGCATGGGCACTTGATGATCACCTTAGTTGTTCTATGGAACTACTACCTCAAGTAAACTTCTCACTTACCTCTACAGAAAAGGATACAACCAGCTTGAGCTCTTCACAAAGTGTCTTGATGAAACTATCGAAATCTGCCACCAAATATTCGATGAAGAAATCAGAGATATTGGAGTTAAAAATCGTGACCTTATCAAACAATATCTCTAGTTGAGAAAGCACCTTAAATTTCAATTATTTGTTATTGGTCTGGGGTTTTGGGGTTTTGGGGTTTTGGGGTTTTGGGGTTTTGGGGTTTTGGGG